GCTTTCGTGCGGAAGGTTGGGCACGGCCAGCAGCATGGCGTGCAGCTCGCCCTGGATCTGCTCCAGGCGCGTGGCCGACTGCTCCAGCTCGGTCTTGAGGCTGCCGACTTCGGCCTTGGCGGCCTCGGCAGCGTCCTTCTCGCCCTTGCCCATCAGCATGCCGATCTGCTTGGACAGCTGGTTGCGCTTGGACTGCAGCTCCTCGGTCCGTGTCTGCAGGGACTTGCGCTCTGCTTCCAGGGACTGGAAGGCCTCCACGTTCAGGAAGGCCTGGGGCTTTTTGCGGGTCTCCAGCCGTGCGACGGCCGAGTCAAGGTCTTTGCGAAGAAGAAGGATATCGAGCATAGCCGGCAATTTTAGGCGGTATCGCCATGGCAGCGCCCGCCCCTGGGCGTTGGGGGTCTTGCCGCTACAGAAATCCCGCGCCGGCGCCGATACTTCCAATATGCCGCCCACAGCGGTTTGCGCACCCGGGAGCACCCATGTTTTTTGTCTTCGGTCCCAACGGACAGATGTTTCGCGGTCCCGCCGAGCGGCTGGGCCAGGTGGCGCCCGTGCGCCGCGTACAACGCCCGCAGGCCCTGCGCACGCGCTCTGCCGATGTGATGGCGGGCGACGCCGCCGCCTCGTTCCCCGCCATCCTGGCCGACCTCGCGGGCCAGCCTGCCGGCGCGCCGGAGCCCGCTCCGCGCAGCCGTGGCGCGGTCGATGCCTACCTTTCCACGGAAAAAGGCCCCAGCCAGCCACGCCAGCCCCTGCAGACCGTGGCCGACGTGATGAGCCACGAGGCCGTGACGGTGTCGCCCGAGGCCGGTGTCAACGACGCCTGGCGCGTGCTGGCCGAGCACGGCGTGGCCCAGGCCCCCGTGCTGGATGCCGGTGGCCGCGTGGTCGGCCTGCTGCTGCGTGCCGACATGGCGCCGCTGGACCTGCTGCCCGAGCCCGGTGCGATCAAGGACGCCATTGCCCTGGCGCGCCGGCCCGTGAACGAGGTCATGATCTCCCCCATACCCACGGTGGCCACCACCACCGACCTGCGCCGCGTGGCCGGCGTGCTGCTGGAGACCGGCCTGCCGGGCCTGCCCGTGACCGATGAGCAGGGCCTGCTGGCCGGCTTCATCAGCCGCACCGACATCCTGCGCGCCGTGGCCTCCGATCCGCCGCTGGATCTGTGGAGCTGAGGCTTTCGGCCCCACCATGCAAAACGGGCGCCAGGCGCCCGTTTGCTTTTTGGCCAATGTCCGCTGCGCCTGCGGTTCAGCCGCCCGTCTCGGGCTGCTTGCCCACGGAGATCTCCAGGCCCGTGGCCGCGTCGATCTTCAGACCCTTGGGCAGCGGGAACTTCACGGTCTCCTCGATGCCATCCATCTTGCGCACCGACAGCGCGCCCAGCTGGCGCAGGCGCTGGATGACCTCGTCCACCAGCACCTCGGGCGCCGAGGCGCCGGCCGTCAGGCCCACGCGCCCGGCATTGGCAAACCATTCCTCGCACAGCTCGCCCGCGTTGTCCACCATGTAGGCGGGCGTTCCCAGGCGCGCGGCCAGCTCGCGCAGGCGGTTGCTGTTGGAACTGGTGGGGCTGCCCACGACGATGAGCACATCCACCTGCGGCGCCAGCACCTTGACGGCGTCCTGGCGGTTTTGCGTGGCGTAGCAGATGTCCTGCTGCTTGGGCTCGCGCACCTGCGGAAAGCGCGCGCGGATGGCTGCCGTGATGCCTGCGGCATCGTCCACCGACAGCGTGGTCTGCGTGACCACGGCCAGCTTCTCGGTCTGGCGGGGGGTGACACGGGCCACATCGGCCTCGTCCTCGACCAGGTGGATGCCCTCGGACAGCTGGCCCATGGTGCCCTCGACCTCGGGATGCCCCTTGTGGCCGATCATCAGGAACTCGTAGCCTTCCTTGGCCAGCTTGGCCACTTCCACATGCACCTTGGTCACCAGCGGGCAGGTGGCGTCGAAGATGGAGAAACCGCGCCTGCGCGCCTCCTCCTGCACTGCCCGGCTCACGCCGTGGGCGCTGAACACCAGGGTGGCGCCGGGCGGCACGTCGTCCAGCTCCTCGATGAAGATCGCTCCCTTGGCCTTGAGATCGTTGACCACGAAGGTGTTGTGCACGATCTCGTGGCGCACGTAGATGGGCGCGCCGAACTTGGCCAGCGCACGCTCCACGATCTCGATGGCGCGGTCCACGCCGGCACAGAAGCCCCGTGGCTCGGCCAGCAGGATTTCCTGGGGCGAGGTCGTATCCGGCACCTCAGAGCACCCCGATGATCTGCACTTCGAAGGTCACCGGCTGGCCGGCCAGCGGGTGGTTGAAGTCGAACAGCACGGCGCCGTCCTCGCGCACCTGCACCACGGCGCCCGCGTAGCTGCCCAGGCCGTCGGGCGTGGGGAACTGCACCACGTCGCCGGGCGCGTACTGCTCGTGCGGGTCGCCCAGCTCGTTCATCAGCTTGCGCGCCACCCACTGCATCATGTCGCCGTTGCGCTCGCCGAAGGCTTCGCCGGCCGCATCTCGAACGTGGTGCGCGTGCCTTCGGCCAGGCCCAGCAGGCGCTGCTCGACGGCAGGCGACAGCTCGCCCGCGCCCAGGGACAGCGTGGCGGGCTTGTCGTTGAAGGTGTTGATCACATCGCCTGCAGGCCCCGACAGGCGGTAGTGCAGCGTGAGAAACGAGCCGGCCTGGACCGTGGGTGGGCCGGGAAGAAGCGCTAGAGGTCATGGAAGTCCGATAAACTGGCCCGTATTGTAGAAAAACATCCATG